TTGAGGAGAGGCGAGAGGACTGATGACTGAAGAGGTGGTCAGGAGATGGTTGTATGAGTCCAGGGTGTGGGTTGGAAGGCTGGCAAGCGATGGAGAGTGGAGGCCAGAATGGTGGGACGTGGAATACAACTCCAGGCGTGGTTAAAGGATACGAGGCGAGATACCGGAACAAGAACACACAGGATTTCATAGGACAAGTTCGCAGGAATTTCAGGAGATATACTGGGCTAGAAGCTACCCTGGTGAGAGTATCAACTGGCACTAGAGTTGTGTCACACCACTCCTTAAATCCCCTGGCCCTCTGATTAGCAGGATCAGGATCCACTGGAGCTCGTTGCCACGCCCACCTGCAACACAAACAGCTGACTGCCAGGTCTCCTCTCCTGCTGCTTGAGGCAGACCATGACAGGCTGTTTCCGTAGCTATAGCCCAACTCATCCTTTAAACAATTATAGCAAATGTTGATTTTTACATGTTTTGCTTGCATAATTTGAATCTGCACCAAAGGGCCTTGAGTGTCTGTTAGTTCCTGTTTTTGTCTTCTTAAACTTTTGCTTTGCACTATATTCCATTGGGAAAAGAGAAGGAAACTCATCTGTGGGTTATCCTGTTGTCTAGTAGCTCCGGTTTGGGCAAATTGAAAACAATAAGTGCAATCAGGGGCTGTAAACGAGCTGTTTCTGCCCTCCCTGAAAGCACTCATCAGGTGATCTAGGTCTCAACCATTGCAGTCAGCTGCTGCATGAACACCTGTTTCCAATTAGTAGCACAGCATAAGTTTGGTGGCATAACTGAAGCGGAAGCGACAGCCCTTGTGTCTCAGCCCCTCCGGTGTAAGACACTCCGGGGTAAAGACATACGTGTCTACCTGCGCGTGTACACAGAGCAAACAAACTCGACCCAGACGCTGCTCCATCAACACCTTGCAAAATGTGCCATTATCCTATACCTGTGATCACTGGCTTCAGAGGAAGGTCACACACAGCAAACCGCTTTCGCAACCTTCAAAACCTCCGCTCGCTAAAACCAACTCCCCCCAAAGACATCCACCTGTCTATGGGACTTTGGAACTGCCAATCGGCTGTAAACAAAGCTGACTTCATTACCGCATATGCAAACCACCTGTTACTCGATGCACTGGCTCTCACAGAGACCTGGAACAAACCATGTGACAATGCTATCTGCTCAATCTGTTCTCTCAGTTAACCACACTTTCTCCCACACTTCACGCGCATCTGGCCGAGGTGGTGGAACGGGCATGTTAATTTCCAACAAATGGATATACAGTCAGTTGCTACCCATCACTAAATACAACTCCTTTGAATACCATGCCATCCAGGTGACTGTACCGAAAAAATTCTTTTTGGTTGTCATATATCGACAACCAGGTCAACTCGTAGACTTTCTTGATGAACTCGAAACCCTGCTTTCCTCCATTCCTGAGCACGACTGTCCCACAATGGTCCTTGGAGACATGAATATTCACCTGGACAATCCCAGCTCATCAGGCTTCCTGTCACTAATGTCATCATTTGATCTAAAACTAGTACAAAGCCCTCCAACTCACAAAGCTGAAAAAGCACTTGACCTCATTTTCTCCAGAAACTGTGCCATAGACACAATCTCTGTCACACCGCTGCATCTTTCCAATCATTACTTCATCCATTTCAGCACGACTCTACAAGGGAGGTCCACTGCTTCCTCCCCAATGGTCTCATTCTGCCGCAACCTCCGCACATCTGGCACCCAACTACTTCTCCTCTCTTGTTGCCTCCACTCTTCCATCTCCCAGCACATTCTCTGCTTATGAAGTGAATGAAGCCACCGAGTCACTCTGCTCCACACTCTGCTCTTGTCTTGATAACTTGTGTCCTTTAGCCACTAGACCTGCTAGATCCTCTCAGTCGCACCCTTGGCTAAATGATAACCTTTGGTCTCTACGCACCAATCTTAGAGCTGCGGAACGGAAATGGAGCAAAACTAAAGATCCTGGTGATCTATTGAAATTTCAGGAATTACTGTCCTCATTCTCTGCCAGCATCACTGATGCAAAGAAAGCTTTCTACACTGACAAAATTCTCAGCTCTACTGACTCTCAGAAACTATTTTCAACATTCAAAACTCTGCTCAACCCTCCGTCTCCACCTCCTGCCAACAATCTATCAGCTGATACCTTTGCCTCATTCTTCACTGACAAAGTGGCAGCTATAAGCAAACAGTTTACTCAACTGGCCACTCCTGAACATTCACTACCAGAAACCCCTTCAAGCCCAACCATCTCAGGCCCTACTGCTTCATTTTCCTCTTTTTCCCCTGTCACTGAGAACTGTGTGTCCAAGCTTCTCATGTGCAGCCGACCTACTACATGCCCACTTGATCCCATTCCGACTAAGCTGCTCCAAGCTATTGCTCCTACAGTAGCCACAGCAGTCACACGTGATCAATGCATCACTGACATCCGGTACATTTCCCACCTCTCTCAAGCATGCTCAAGTTAAACCACTGCTAAAAAAACATCTCTTCCTCCAAATCATGTGGAGAACTACCGACCTATCTCTCTCCTCTCTTTTCTGTCCAAAATCATTGAAAGGGTGGCTTTCAAGCAGATCACAGAATACCTCTCACAAAACTGTCTGCTTGACCCGTACCAATCTGGGTTCAAAAAGGGCTACTCCACTGAAACTGCTCTGTTAGCAGTGACTGAATCCTTAAAAGAAGCTAGAGCGACTGCCAAATCCTCAGTGCTTATCCTCCTCGACGTATCGGCTGCATTTGACACTGTCAACCATGGCTTCCTTTGTCCACACTCTCTCCATGAGCATCACAGAGAAAGCACACGTCTGGTTTGAATCGTACCTCACAGGATGATCATTCAGTGTATCTTGGCTTGGACAATCCTCTACCGTGCACCATCTTGCCACAGGAGTCCCCCGGCTCTCTGTACTAGGACCTCTTCTCTTTGCCATATACACCACCTCACTGGGTGAGATCATTCGATCACATGGCTTCTCCTACCATTGCTATGCAGACGACACCCAGCTCTATCTGTCATTTCCACCGGACGACCACACTGTCTCTGCACGAATATCAAACTGTCTCTCTGACATATCAAAATGGATGAAATCCCACCATCTCCAACTCAACCTCTCTAAAACTGAACTACTTGTCATCCCAGCAAAACCATCCCTACAGCACAATATCTCAATCCAAAATGACTTCCTATATCTGGCTCCTTCAAAGGCAGTTCGAAATCTGGGTGCTGTGATTGATGAACACCCGACCTTTAAAGATCACGTTGCCTCTGTTGCCCATTCATGCCGCTTTGCGCTGTATAACATACGAAAGATCAGACCATACCTAACACAACATGCCACCCAGCTCCTGGTGCAATCTACTGTCATCTCCCGCCTCGATTACTGCAATGCCCTTCTAACTGGTCTTCCAGCCTGTACTGTGAGACCTCTTCAAATGGTCCAGAACGCAGCGGCGCGTCTGGTCTTCAATCAGCCAAAAAGAGCACACGTCACCCATCTGTTCATTGAGCTCCACTGGCTACCACTAGCAGCACGCATCAAATTCAAATTGCTAACACTAGCATACAAAGTCCGAGATGGTACGGCTCCCATCTACCTGAATCCTCTTGCAAAGGCTTACGTCTCGGCCCGGCCGCTCCGGTCATCACAGGATCGTCGTCTAGCAGTGCCTACACCACGCTCAGGACAATCCAGACTCTTCTCATGCATCGTTCCACAAATGTGGAATGACCTTCCAAGCACTACCAGAACTGCGGCTTCCTTTTCAATTTTCAAGAAACTCCTGAAGACCCTGCTCTTCAAAGAGCATCTTCTTAACTAGCACCCTCCCTGCACCCGGGACCCTCTCTACTGTCCACTCCTTGTTCCCTACTCTCCATGACTGATGTCAATGTTGTTGTTGTTATTGTTGTTGTTAGCCTCAAGGGCAATATGCCGATTATCACTTGTAAGTCGCTTTGGACAAAAGCGTCTGCTAAATACATAAACATAACATTGTCCAACCTCACGTTTGAATGTAGGCTGATGCTACAGTGTTAGTGGACAATAATCAAAGGTACAAATCAGAAGAAGTCATACTGAGTTTTTTACTCAACATGCATTTGTAAGAATATGGTAGTTTTAATTCTTAGACAGCTATGAAGTCAGGTCACTTCTCAGCAGATTAGGATTTAGGAATTCAGCCTGTAAAAATACTATATGATCAAAGATCAAAGTGCAACATTATTTAAACAGTTCTTTATGTCAGTAATGGAAAAGTTTAAAATAAACAGAAAAACTGAAAACCCATATCCAATACAAATTTCTGTTATGATTCAAATAGATAGCTACTTAACCTCCTGAGACCCAGTACATGTGACCAGTGGATTCTTGCTTTATATTTATTCTGTTTATCTTAAACCAGTTAATAATATTATTATTATTATTATTATTATTATTATTATTATTCAAAGAAAACTTGTTTTAACATTAATCACTTTATTTTTAAGTGTTTGAGATGTCCTACTAACTCTAAATAACAGTTTTGTTTTGTTGCTAAAGAACACCAAACAACAGCCTGAATTTCAGGGTGTTAAGAATTCAGGATTTGTTTTTTTTACCAGAAACATTTTAGAATGAATGAATGAATATAAAAGTTTCTGTTTAAACCCTTTTATTTATGCACACTTGAAATATCTGCATTGCCAAACAGTGTGTGTGTGTGTGTGTGTGTGTGTGTGTGTGTGTGTGTGTGTGTGTGTGTGTGTGTGTGTGTGTGTGTGTGTGTGAGTGAGAGAGAGAGAGAGAGAGAGAGAGAGAGAGAGAGAGAGAGAGAAGAGAGAGAGAGAGAGAGAGAGAGAGAGAGAGAGAAAGAGAGAGAGAGAGAGAGAGAGAGAGAGAGAGAGAGAGAGAGACTCTAGTGCATAAATGAGTGTGTTTGTGTGTGTGTGTGTGTGAGTGAGAGAGAGAGAGAGAGAGAGAGAGAGAGAGAGAGAGAGAGAGAGAGAGAGAGAGAGAGAGAGAGAGAGAGAGAGAGACTCTAGTGCATAAATGAGTGTGTTTGTGTGTGTGTCTGCATTGTGGGTGGCTGAATAAATCCCTGTAGTCCTAGCATGGGTAAGCTGCCGTGATTCGACTCCATGCCCGTGTTGGAGTTGACTTACGCTTTTGTTCTTGGAGGAAAGCCCTGCAGTTGCTGTGTTTGTGTGGGGGGCTGCTGGGTTTACTGGGAGATTACTAAACATGTTTGCTATTTAAGATGAAAAGAAAATGTCCCTGAAGAGCTCTCTCTTCTCACTAGACATGCCTCTTTCCTCTTCCTCTTCCTCTTACATCTGTCTGTTTCTCCTTAGGCTCTTTTATTTCCCTCTCCTGTCCTTTAACAGTCCCTGGGTGTCTCATAACAGCACCTCAGCTCCTCCTGAGATTCTCCAACACACCAATGCTTTGTCCCTCTCCATCCACCTCACTCCTTTGTGCTCAGTATTCTCCTCATCTTCCGTCAGCCCTCGTGCCTCCCCCCTGCTCCGATGGACCCCAACATCCTCTGAAGAGTCTGGTTGTGTGGCGACAAAAGTTCTCCTATAAAGGAGTATAAAAGTAGGCCTGTTATGTAAGGATGGACATGGGCTGAGGACCTGGTAAAACCAACGAGCTGCAATAGTTTATTCTCTGGGTGTCGTGATGCTGCTGCAGGCTCTGTGCTGATGGGAGCAGACCATAGAAATGGAAATGAGGGGTGAGGGTCAGCATAGATGGGGGTTGGAGCCTGTTGTTTGCTCGCCACCGCTTGTTGTGTGTCGTTCCCACTGAGTGGATTTTCATTGGTTTTCATCATAAATCTTAAACTTATTATTCTGCTCTCCCTGCAGTCAGCTGCTTCTAAGTGACAGAAATATGTGATAGCCATGTAACAACTGCTTAAAGATGTGTCGCTAACGAAATTGGGCTGTATTTATTACAACAGCTTTATGTAGCACGTTCGTTTGTGTGAGACTGACATGAGCTGAGCTGACTGTGAGGGCGTTATGAACCTCTCTGTGTGCATCAGCACAGCTGATTAGTCGGCCCAAGCTAGGTTTGACCCGCTGCATGAGAACATTTAGGGACATTGTGTTTATTAACCGATCTTGCTTTAAAACAATAATTTTGTATACAACACTCTACAATTAGGGTATTTTTTATTAACATCACTTAGTGCATTATTAAGCATTAATAAACCATTAAATAAGTGTTAACAACTGCTTTTATGCATTATATAGCATTACTAAACATATTATTCAACACATTATTTAGGCCCTAGGCCTTTTTTCTTTGGGCCCTGGCGCCTCCCAATTGGGGGCCTTTGGAGTTTCATGTCCCAAGTGTCAGTGATGGTTTGCATTCTCCGAGCACAGCTACAGCTACAATCAAAACAGTTTAGATTGTAAACAAAGCAAATTTTGGTTTTTGATACATTAAGATAAAACAATACTTGAACTTTATTTTAGAAGAGCTGCCCTGTGTGAAAGTGCTGACAGGATGGAGGTTGTGAGTTCAAATTCCATTTAGGTAATTTAGTCAATTGTTTTATTTATTCCAGGGGTCCTGAACTAAATTTGTTCAAGGTTTTTTTTTCTTCCAGCAGACACCAGAGAAGGTCAGATGCTCTTCTAAAATAAAGTTCAAATATCATTGTGTCTTAATTTATTGCAATTTAAAATGGCCTTGTTTCCCATCTGGGCTGTTTGATTGTGGTTCTAGTTGTGTTTGGAGAATGTGGACAGTTGTAGATGTTTGGTACATGAAACTGTAGAGGCTCCCAATTGGGGGGCGTTAGGGTTAAACAGGTTAAGCAGTTAACTAATGTACTGAACCTAAGGGTCCAACATTCATTCAGTAATGATTAATTATGCTTAAGTAATGCTTAGGAGTCTATTAAGCATTTAGAAAGTGTTTCCAAAGGGGATCAATGTGTTTACCTTACGTAAGGTCAGGTAAGTGCTTCCTGATGACATACACAGCAGCATTAGTAAGACATTAATAATTGTTTATTAATGCCCATTCAAGTAACATCCAAAGTACAGGGTAGGATAAGTGGATGAATTAGTTAGCTGTTACTTATTGCTTATTCGCTGCAAATACACAACCATACTAAATGATTACTTTAATAATTATTAAGGGTTAATTAACACACTAAATAACATGGTAGTTAACACACGTGATGCTAGGTAATTAAAAATGCAAGTGTTATTTAAAGCTTAGTACTGCATTAACTAAGGTTCAGTAATAGACATTAGTTAACTGCTTAATAATGCATTAAATAATATGTTTAGTAATGCAATATAATGCCTAAAAGCAGTTGTTAACACTTTATTTAATGGTTTATTGATGCTTAATAATGCACTAAGCAATGTTAATAAAGAGACCCTTATTGCAAAGTGTTACTATTTGTGTTTTATAAGCAGAGGTGGATGGGGACCAAAAATCGGCCCTGGCAATTTTACTGACCATTGGCCCTCAGAGCGGGGTAGGGGGAAGGGAGTTGCTGGACTCGTCTCTATGCCGCCGAATGTGGGGGGGGGGTCTTGTGATGGCCCAAGCTGGGCAAGCGGCCTACTTAGCTAAGTGGTCCACCGGGACAGTGCCAGAATGCCAGAGAGGCCAGTCCACCCCACTGTTTAGGTGCCAATGCACCGAAGCACCTTCATTAATATACTTTTTAAGAATTTATCGTCATTTGTGTTTCTTTTATTGTTCAGCAGCTTCAAAAAGAGTGCATAAAACATGTGGCGTACTCAGGAATAGTGTGCTGTGACTTGTGGTCGCTATCTTGACATCAGATATCTGCAAAGAACTACAAGAATGTTCCTCCAACTCAACAATGGGATTTTGGTGAAAAGTGAGAAAACCCAGCCTTCTTTGCAGCTCACAGCAGAAACATCCTTTACAGATTAAATGACTCAGAAAGCTGAAATGATGACAGTTTACTTTTAATGATGTTTCCATACATTTTCTGCATGTTCACGTGTAACCACCACAGCCTCCTGCTGCTCACAGGTCAAGATTTGTTTGTCTGAGGCTCACTTTTTCTTCACTCTCATTAGTTTGTTCTCAGGCAGTGAGATAGCAGTGTGTGGTTGCCATGGTGACTTAATGAGCTACCGGTGGTTGCCATGGTGATCTTACTGAGCCACTGGCAGGAGCTTTATCATTTCTTTTGATTTTGGTAGACTTATTATACACTTACAGTATATAGACATTTTGTTTCTGATTATTATAAAGTTGCACGCTCCAGAAATTCCTCAGGAAGGATCTGGTTCTTCCCTGCTGAAAAAACCCCCCAGCATATATTGTGTTTTGGATGCTGGTATGATGGTTCAGCATGCTATAGACCAGCATCCCATCCTGGACCAGCATTGTATGCTAGTCCACCAGCAAAAAGGCACCAAAACACAACACATGCTGATGTGCTATTTTATTTTTAAACAGGATTATCAACCTTTCTAGGTCTGAAGCATTTATTAGTGCTTGTGAAGAGAGTCGCTGTTGTAACAATGACTTGTGTCCCTCATACTGCACATGTGGCAGAGACTGGTTCAGATTTGAGTCACTTGTCCCTAACAAGGCAGGAAGGCCTGGACTACAGAGGTTAGAAATACCTCCAGGACACTGCAAGGCTACAATTAGGGGTGGACAATATATCGGCATCAATATTGGTATCGGTTCGATAAATAAAACCAGGCAGATGTTAACAATTGATATTTTTTCCATCTCGTCTCCATGTGTTTGACTGTTTCAGATGGTGAGGGGGTGATGTGTAATTGTTTAGTCATGTGAACAGTGAATGAAATCATCTCAGAACAGTAAATGAGTGTGTTGTGTGTACATAATAACGTAAATTCAGCCTTATTAATTTTCTTTCTATACAAAATCTGCAGATTTTAGAAGCAATAATGTCAGTCTATCGGTGTCGGGAAATATCGGTTATCTGCTATAACAGTGATCTTAATATCGGACATCGGTATTGGCCCAAATATTTCATATCGGTGCATCACTAGCCACAATCGTTGAAATGCATTGCTTAAGATGGAAACACCAAAACCAAATAACACACAGCAGAATAAAACAGCGCTAACTGCCATCGCCATCCTGCCGACATCTTCTCACAAAATTAACAGCAGCAGCACAAGATGAACCCCTACACACACCACACAGCCACAGATTGCGAAATTGCTGCAATATAATTAGTACATTCTCTTTCTCACACAGACTTGAGTCCCCCTGCACAGCCTTTAAAGCATTTGTGCAGCTGCCTGTGAGGCTGAGCTCTTCCCCCTGTCCCTCTGCAGCAGCAGCACAAAGGCCGTAAGATCAAGTCACTCAGAAACACAACCACAGGGCTGCCCGGGCTTCCCCTCACACTCCATTCACATATCCCTCCATCTTCTTTCTGTTGACCAATGCTTCCATCAGGGCCTAAGCAGCCCACTGACCTGTGATCTGATTCAAGCATCTATGCACTCTGACACAGAACGTGACTGCACCATTCCTCCACTGTGTTTTAAAAAAACACCAACAGGGAAGCACACACTCCTCATTTTATGCATGGAAATCACTTTTGAGGGCAACTTGCTCTCATTCTTGTGGGAATGAGCAAAGAGAGACAACCTGAGTACCAGCGACATTTTTTCTGCATGAATGTCTCTGCACGTGGTCAGTCAACTGACTTAACACTGAACCTCAGTTTCAACCGTTTATCTGCTACTGCCCTGAGACCATTAGCTGGAACCACAGACCTACTTCTGCTACTGACTATTCAGCTAACACACTCGGGTGTCTGTGTGTGTGTGTGTGTGTGTGTTTATCATTATATTTTTTCATATAAACAAAACAAATAATGCAGAACTGAAACGATTCATCAAGTGATTGAATTCTTTCAGTTACAAATAAATCCAGACTTACTTATATGTGACTGTGTGTTTCACAGGGACATTTATTACTGTCGGACAAGATGGTGACCGTATGTTCTGTATATAAGCATAAAATAGGATAAAAACCAAGATGGCTAAAGGTTTGGTACTATATTCAACTTCAGAAAAGCAAAAGCACATCAGTAAAATCAAATGAGTTTGCCACAATGACACAATTTCAACAGCTTTGTATTATGATTAATGTGTTTCTGAGTAACACAGTTTTGTCCACAGACATGAATCATCCTTCTTCACATTTAAAAATGGTGGAAACGTTGGTCACGGCAAAAGAAAAAAAAATCAGGGAAATTGGATTAGATTGACTGAAACCATTTTTAGATGAGACTGTTTGTCAGCTGTGGTGTGTGTTCTCTGTAAACCTCATCAAACCTACAGAGATGGAGGAAATGGCTGTGATAAAAGAACAGCCTCTTAATATTGAAAACCTTATTTATTACACTCATACTTCTCTAAACGCAGCTGGCCAGGCCTGAGTAATCCTAATGGTTTTAAGGACTGGATTAGAGTTGGGCTAAGGCACAAACTGTAAAGAAGATTATGCAAGAAGTTTAGATCTTGCAGTTCTTTGTAGTTATGAGTGAGAGAAGAGACAGTTGCATCGTCTGGGTCAAGGATGTGAGTTCCTTTGTGTGTGTGTGTGTGTGTGTGTGTGTGTGTGTGTGTGTGTGTGTGTGTGTGTGTGTTCACTTTCCATTGCTGCTCTTCTTCAGCCCTCAATGTTGTGATGAAAGAGATTAATAATAGAGGGATAAAATCTCCCTTGACAAAAATACTCTCCATTCCTGCTTCCTGAGCTTTGGCTCGTTTGCGTTTCTTATGATAACACATACCCAGACACACACACACACACACACACACACACACACACACACACACACACACACTGCAGTCAGGGAGTCAGCGCTGCGTCAGGCGGGTTATGTAACAGCCAAAGAGTGTGAGAGTGCGGGGAAATCTAGGGTGCATGTTATGGGGACGGAGTGGGGAGAACAGCATAGACTGGTCCTTCACTGAGTGCATCTCATACAGCTAAATCCCATTATTCTCTTCGGATTTTAAAAATACTTGCATAAAAAGCAGAGACGCGCTTAAAATCTCACACTAAGCCCAGTTATTTATAAACTTTAACTCATAATGTGACCTATGACATGATGGTTGGATGCAACAGCGCCCAGTAAAGGTTTTCTGGTTTTCATCGCTTCCCAGTTGAATTTGAGCAGAATTCCTCATCTCTGTTTCTCGTATTATCAAGAATGTTTTTTTTCAAGTCAGCATAAGAGTAATAATGACGCAAAGCAGCAGCTTGTCTGGACATTTGAAACACAAATGATTTACTAAAAATGTCCTGAACATGTTTCCGTCACAGACCAGACACTGATTGAGATCATGTGACCTCTGTCTGTTCTATCCATCTGCAGATATGGACAAAAATAAACGTCCTTCCATCTTTAATTCCTAATCTGACACTTCGCTGCAAGAATTATTAATAAATAATAATAAATAATAAAATAAAATAATAAAAAATATAAATAATAAATAATTTAAAAAACCTCTTTTGTCATCCATCTGAGAATGTTCCAGACACAGCTTCATCTTTTCACTTAACCCACCCCACACCCTCCTCCCCTCTCTCTGGTTGTGTCACTGCACCTCCAAATCCTTTGGGGTGCTCATCTGCAGAGCTATATGTGGCCTTTTTGCAAAACCTCTGCAGCATAAACACAGTGATGAGTGACAAGCAGCTAGCTCACTGCTGTCACCACAAACAAGCAGGCAGTAGGCTGTTTTTAGGGTAAAGGAAAAAGGTTACTGCCGCCCCCTGCTGGTACAAATTTAGGTCAAAACCTGGTCATAACAGATGGGACAGTACAGTCAAATAAGTTTCTGATGCACACACACACACACAGACAAATTTAACTAGCTATTCTAGACACGTGATCATTTTGATTTGAGAGGAATTTCATCTCAGTGATGTCTGCAGAAAAACTGATGAGTTAAACAAGAGTGTCTGACGGGGTGAACAAAAATGTGACCCTCTTTTGTCCTTTCACCACATAAGGTTGTGCTCATCTTTGCATGAAGGCAGCAAAACACTGCTCTTTGCTTCTGGCCGTGTCTGTGAATGACTATTTATATCCCAGCGTCACACAACGCCCACACAGGAAGGAATTAAAGCCTGGCATCACGATGACATAATCACTGCTGAATGAAACTGTAGCCCCTTCTGCAAAAGGGGGCTTATCAGCAAGATGGGATTACACAACAAAACAGTGTGTCCCTGGTATCTAACCCCCCCCCCCCCCCCCCCCCCCCCCCACACACACACACACACACACACACACACACACACACACACACACACACACACACACACAAACGTTCAACTTCAAGCCTTTGCCCCACACAAAATCTATAATATTCTGTGTAAAGACAATACATTTCTCTTGATACCAAATCTCTGCCTTTCCAGATGTAAGTTTTGTTTTGTTTTTACAGAACATCTGTGAACAGTAATGTCTGGCATACCTTATATCCCCTCCAGAATGCCTGGATGAGCACAGCAGCCTGCTCCTCACTCAGCAGCAGAAACCGAGGGATGTGATGTTCAGGGCTGGATGAAAAAAAGGAGAAAAAAAACATGCCAGTGTCTCGGAATATCCAAAATGCCCACATGTTGGTTTGTTTGTTTGTGGGGGTGAAACACTCACTGGGTGCTGAGGAAGTCCTTGACGAAGGGAATGTCATGAAAGTTCACTGGATCACGTCCCTGTTGTTGGGAGTTGTGACTGAGAAGGAATGATTATATGATACCTTTTCAGCAGTAACAAGATGACATCAGTTATGTGATGTGCCATTAGAAATATTTATGTATGAGAAAGGTTTTTACTTGTAGAGCCACTTAATTAGGAAGACATATGGGACACATGCTGGTTTTTCCCTCTGAAATTAAACAATAATGGGAAATGTTGCAAGTTTTCATGGTCTGTGGTTTCCTTTTAAATATTTATATTGAATTTGTATTTATTTATAGTTGTGGTGGTGGTAGGGGTTTGAGATGTACATCTAAATGGTGAGCTGCACCTCAAACCAGCCGTATTTCTGGCCTTCTCCGAGCAAAGCCTCCAGACCCTGCAGTAACACTGGAAACACGTTCCTCTCCAAGTAACCTGTAACAGGATCTAATATAAACAAATAAAACGGTGCTGTGTTAAACAGGACACGAGTAATGTTTCCACTATTCTAAGAGTCATACTTTCATGAATTTCTACTGCTGTGGGGTCTATTTCTCTCAACTTCCCATGGGGAGAGGACGGATGCTCGGCTTCAAACTCTGCAAAACACACAAAAAATAAACACCTTTTTATCCAACTGAAATAAAAATAAACATATTCAACTTACCTTCACAAACCTGTTCCCAAAGCGATTTTTCAGCACAATTTGCCATGTTGAGACTCCGTTAAGCACCGTTGCTAAGGAAATGCGTGTAATACAACTTCCGGTGTAAACAAACATGGCACCTAGCTAGCTGCCAGCAGGTAAAAGGAAATGTTGAACCCTGCGTGCGACTTTTCTCGCACGGTAATATTTTATTCACTGTAGATTTTAATAAAAAAAATAGTTGTGACTGTATTCATGCTTATAATTTGTTTTCATGTTCTTTTTGTATTTTGATCTGATACGAAAACAGTTCCTTGTTTTTATGTCTACGAGTTAAAATTTCACAAATCTCGCTTTCCTGCTCTCTCAAAGCACAATAAGATAACTTGCATTGCTTTTAATAAACAAATGACACATTAGGTGGTAGTAGAGACCAGCCACACCACGTTATTAATAAACAGCGGTTATAAACAGATTTTGACTGAGCTGATCACTTATTTAGGTTAGGGTTAGACTCGCCAAGTAGAAAACTGGATTTAAATCAGTCTTCACGCATCTGACCGCTAGAGGGCAGCATATATTTCCATTCGGTGGGTGTTTAACTTATCTAGTCACAGTAATATACGCATTTCAAGTAATACAAATATATTTTTGCTTCAACTTCAATCTTTTCTCTTACAATGACAAAAATCTAAAATTTTAAAGAGCCTGTCAAAACATTTTAAGATTAGGACCTGCCAACAAAACGTTTTATTTGGAAGTTTTATCATATTGCCTCATTTTAATATTAATTTTAACTAACATTAACACAAATCAGTGAATATTTATTTGGATATTAGGCAATAATGTGAATCAAATAGCACAATGTAATACTAAAAACTTCAACAAATACTAAACTATATCCAATATCTCATTTTTAACATGCGGTTTAAAACGGTTATATGTTTGCTTTGAAATAAATGGTATATAAAAGATCAAAATTAAAGTCTTTATTGGAATATATTCCAAAGCAGTTAAGTCATTTCATGACTAAACAAAAATAGCCATTTATCTTTAAAAAAATCCCAAAGATTTCAAAAATGCACTGAACATCTTTCGACAAAATATACACTGCAGCAATTCAGAATTTGCAGCCACCAATTATCTTGTAAATAAATAAAATTGTGAACAAAACATTTTTACACAAATATCATTTTAGACTCAGCCACAGTTGCATCCGCAACTGGTTACAATAACTCTTTCTTATAAAACAAATAAAAACCTCAAACCATTTGCCGACAAGCTGCTGCAGTGCATCTTGATTCCAACCCTCCAAAAGAAAATAAAAAAGCAAACACAATGAACATCAGTAGAAATAATAGGAATATGATGGTATTATTAATGAGACAAGATTATTTTCATAAAGCAACACTGATAAAAGTAGATATCATAAAAAGACCAACTATGAACAATGAAGTAGACTAGTTACATTCCTTCTGGGTCTCAGAGAAGTGTGAAGAGTGTTTAAGTAAAGGGAAAGAGAATAAAACATACTCTTCACATGCATGATGCATGTAAAAGCTTAGTGTATTCTTCCTGCATGTCTAGCCATAATCAGACACATTTGATCTATATTACATAGTGAGGAGCCACGTTCTCAGTGGTTTTAGTGTCTCTGTGATTAAAATAAACTTGTGTCAAGCCAGCAGTTGATCCAACATTCAGAGCTCGTCTGCAGGCAGCGCGTTCAGGTCCTTAAAAGATAATAAAGTCTATGGATGGTTGTGGTGAAGAATAAGGCCAAGCCCATGATGTAGTGAATTTTATAAGTCTGTGGACCTGGGCATCATCTCAGGCAGACATGAAGTGGTGTCAATCCTAAACACGATTGGTGAGAAGAGCTGAAAAAAAAAAATGATGGTTGAGATGAGTCTGTCTCCCCCATTCCAAATGTTCGCCCTCCTGAAGAAGTGGGGATGGACTAGTCTGCTCGGGGGAGCCTGTGAGCCCCCCCATCAGCTTGTTCAGTGCAATGAAAAGAGGACTTGTAGCTTCTTGCTGCACGTTCCATTCTCTCTGTGACTTTCAGGACCTGAACACAAACCTTCCTCTGGTTCTTTCCTAATTATAAAACCATTATTCCATCTCTCCACACTGCTTTAACCATCAACACCTTCCATCTTCATGGCTTTCCTACAAACACGGCCACGCCCCCTGTATTAAAGAAGCTGGTGAGAGCTATGTACAGATAGTGCTAGATCATGTTTATTGAAGTGTAAGGTGGTTGGTTCACTCGGAGCGAGGTTCTCCGTGGACTCTGAAGCGGTACAGACAGGTGTATTCTGGGTGACCCCAGTTCGACAGGACCCGAACCTCAATGATCTGGAAGGCCTTGTCGTTCTTCTCCTGACAGATAAGGAGGGAGATTTTGACCAAATGCTCACAGGCATTGATTTTTGTTAAGAGTTTCTCCAGAGTTACCTTGACAGGGAAGATTTGCAGTGACTCCCCATCCTCCTCATATATGTAGTTTCCCAGGAGTGTTCCTTCATCTTGGTACTCGTCATCAAGACCCTGATAATAAAAATAAACAGTAAATCAGTGATAATTGCGTTTGATAAATACGTGACATCAATGGTTCTGTGCAAGTATTTCTTACAAAGACAGTGAAGTTGCGTGGAGCACTGGTGATGTTTCCAGTTGGGGAGAGAGCCTTGGGGATGTGCTCCACAACAAAGGACGTTGGCAGGATCCTCAGGGACAACCTGATCACCAGATAACCTTGAGAGCCTTTGAACGCCCAGCAGTTACCTGGATACACATCAGGCTAATGGAGAGGAAGAAGAGGAGGAGATTACTTTTAAAACAACAACCTGATCACTGCTTGGATCTACAAACTAGAAGAGTGAGCTCCCAGTTTCTGGGTATCTGATGGTGAGACTCACCTGGATGACGACTCGTGGAGACTGAGAGAAGTACCAGAGCGGCAGCCCAAACAGGCTCATGAGGGCCGTCTTTGTCTCGTATGTTTCAGAGCAGCGAGTGCTAAGGATGCTGCCGCCTGGAAATGAGCAAACACCCATTACAAAACAGGGCAACATCATCCATCACTCACCGACTTTAACTGAAAACTACGGATGTCCCGATCAGGTTTTTTTGCCCTCGAGTCCAAGTCATTTGATTTTGAGAATCTGCCGATACAGAGTCCCGATCCGATACTTTCAATACATTTTAAAAAAAAAAGAAAGAAAGAAAAGGAAGAAACAGTTCCTTATGTGAGGTCACTTGAACAATCAAGTAATAAATAACATAAACTCTTCACTTTTGGACTTTACTGCAAATATAAAAAGTCTAATATAAAAACAGATCGCACTTCAACTTCAAACACCTGGCAGGGGGCTATTTTGCCTCGGCCTCCAAAATGCTTAGATACGTCCCTGGGCATGGGACGGAGTTTTGAAGATGATCTGAATTATATCAACTATATAAATACTACAAGCTGATAAGTTATTGCTTTATACAGGTACACACGTGTAGTGGGATAAATCTGCCTACATTTTATTTTTTTAAGAACTTTGTTTTGTTTTCTTGGTTTTTATTTTCCTATCTTCCTGTCCTGTCTGTCTCTGATCTTCCTGCATCTCCCAGTCCTCCAGAAAAACTCCTGTCTGCTCCCTTCTTTTTCACCGCACAAGTAACCTTTTAACCAGCAGATCAAATTGATCTATTGATTGCAAAAAAAGCGGTGTGTGCACTGCGCTGCCTGGCTGCGCCAGTGACGAGCGCTGCAGCGCGAGCGCGTCCACACGTCATGCTCAAATACAGACAGAACTTACCAGAGAGAAAATGAACGGACACGAATGACTGTGGGTTAACTGTATATTTTTGGTGACGCCACTTAGAAACTTAGAAAATGTTACTGTGGCCGTGCGCAGCTGGAGTTCATGAATAATCAGCGGTCTGCCTGTCGCTCTGCTCAAAAGAGTCCCCGCTACGCTGAGTCCATATAAATAATATAATATAGGTAGAAACTGGATCTTTTTTGTGCTCCTTCTGGGTGTGTAAGTTAAGGGGATCAGGGGAGCCTGACAACCTTTAAGGAGAACCGAGTTGCTCTCCTGTAATTTGAACCCAGTATCCGAGTCCGGATCAGTCTGAAACCACGTGATCGGGGCCGATTTCCGATCATGTGATTGGATCGGGACATCCCTACTGAAAACAGATCACTGACACATATAACACTCCCTATAGAATAAATCCATCAGCAGAGCCTTAAGTATTAACAAGTAGTAAACAGCAGAGTTCAGGGAGGAAAAGAAAAGTTAACTTTTTACCAATAAATATGGGAAATATGCATAAGTCATGGTTCTGTGAGTGCCTCATATTTGGGTCTACAACTCAGTCTGGGTGAGGATGCAACACAAACAGATGCAAGGGACATCATTTTATTCTAGTGGGTGTTTATGAAGTAGCTGGTGCTGTAAATGAAAACGTCTAGTGTTTCAAAATGATGAAACAATCAACTTTTCCGTTACCTTGAAAAGAAAGACTGCTAGAATGAAACCCCTGGTAGCTTGAGTGTGTGTAATGTAACTACAGACTGAACACACTTTTATCTGGAGCAGCTTCACTTGAAGAATTCATTTAAAAAACAACAGAAAACTTAGTTTTTATCTGAAAAAAAAATTGCATATTTTTATTATTTCCTTCAGGTGATACCAGTCAAATGAAATGTAAGTAATTTTGATCAAAAATGGCTTTTTTTCTGTTTTTGCTACTGAACTTTTCATTTATTTTCTGGAAATCATCACATAGAAGTTTCACCTGATAAACTGTCTGTTGATTAGTTGGAAAACTATTTGTATTTTTATCAGGAATGTCCGATATTCACGGCCTACCATCAATGTCAGCAGACACTGGAATGAAAATGTAATATAGGAACATTTTGGTATCGGTTTTCAGTCTTTTAGTGACACATCTTTCACATACCACACACATATTATACACCAAACTCCTCAACTACTTCTCCTGTCTATCAAAGTGTCAAAATACGACAGATCTGAGATAGTTTCATGGATATTTTAGTTTATTTGGCACAACTCGTGAAGCAGAATCGTGCCCTGTGTAGTGAACAGCACATCGTGATGTGTAGCTAGCCAGCTAACCACTAAAACAAAAACAACTACTTTAACCCAAGTCTTGTTTTTGTTATCTGAAGATTTCTGTAAATGTTTTATTAACATTGCTCTAATATCCAGAGTAATGGACTAGTACACACGTTTTAGCATCACGCCTAAGCCTGACTTCTACTTCTCTGTATGCGTCGGCGCGACAGCTCTACGACGGGCTCACAGAGGGTGACAGAGACATGCCCAAAGTTTTAAACATCAGTCGAAAGTGACGGAGAATGTAAGTTTGTGATTGGTCAGGACGCAGCTTCCTGTATACTCGTCACAAACACAGCTGTAGCTCCGTTAAAAAGTAAACAGATATTTAGCAGCAGACCCAGAACAGATTGAAGAACGCATCATGGGAACAAGTCTGAAAATATGAACATTTATTCACCCGTGACTGAAGGAGTACAAAATACGGAGCAAACGTGGACGGAAACGACAGAAAGCAAGGGTTTAGAGGTGGCGACCGCATGAAGAGGTGGATGAGAATGAAGGATAAATTTGTCCGTGTTATAAAGTTTCTGAAATATATAAACACATTAGTAAATAAACTATCGGGGACCGGATGCACGAGTGTTATGGTGGCAAGATACCCCAGAAAAACGCTACACCCTCGGTTGTCCTGGTGGGGAATTGCTTTGCAACGCTCCGCTGCCTGAACAGAAGTTCGAACGTGAAAACCTTTCCGACATTCCGTGTGCGTCTCTCTGTTGCGGAGCTCACGGAGAAGTATAAATCAGGCTTTAAGGAGAATGAGACTCAGTTGCTACTGGAGACTAAATAAACACGTCACTTTTCCTGTTACTACCGTAAATCCTCTAATATTGGCCTGTATTCTATTACCGGCCGGGTCTCCTACATTAGCCGGTCTCGCTGTCAATGGGTGTAAATAAAGTCCAGTCTCTAATAGTGGCCCGGGACCAGAGATTGATTAGAAACAAGGTTTTTTTTCTCGGCAGGCATCAACATTACCGGTTGGATCCACGTCACCAACTGCAGAGCTGGGTCAGGAGGTAGCCATTGCAGCACAGAACCTACTTTGTTGACTGGGTGTAAAAATACCCAAATTTCGGGCGATAGAGACAAAAACAAAGCCCCCCCCCCCCCCCCCCCCCCCCCCCGAAAGTAGTGCGCCCCAAAGGAATTACTGAAACTTACTGAAAGAAGACGGAATAGTGGATCATATAATCTCCGGCTGCAAGATGAGCAGAAAGGGAACAGAAAATGCTAGTTTTCAGTCATCACTTCATCACAGGTACGGGTTTACTAAAGGTTTTTTATGGCATTTTATTGAAAAGTTATTTAGAAAAGCAGCTACAAAACAGCAGTTAAACAGTTTGATACTGTTTTCGTGTGTCCTCACTGCAAATAGCTTTTAGAGTGCTAATGTTTTTAGCAGTTAGCTCTGTGTTGTAACGTGGCATTAATACCTTAATAAAATCAAACTGTACTAGAAATTTGGACTTAAAAAGGCATAAAATGTTAGTTTTAAGTAGATCTTAGCACATACTCACTGTTAGCATTAGCTATCATTACGAGTTAATTACATATTTAAAATAGCACATCTCACGAGCATTAACAAGACAATGGTCATTTAAAGCTTCTCCAGATCTCTAAATTGTTAACCAACCTAAAGTAAAACAGTTGTAGACTTTCAGACTCATCAAAGGCTTTTGGTTTGCTGTGTAATATGAGATGTGCCACACAAGATAGTTATGTCGCTCACGTCAGCGTTGGGTAAATCCTCAAGCGAAACAAGTGTTTGTTGTAAATATCTGTACAATGTTAACTGTACATTTTCAATAAACCAACCTAGTGTTTTATAGGTTCAAATAGACACATAATCTTGTTTCTATTCATTCTACTGGTTGTTTATTTTGCACAATTGAAATTGAAGCCTACCTCTAATTCTGGCCTCCTTCCAATAAAGACTTGCACAAGGATGTGCTTGATTAAATAAAGGCCCGGGCCTGTATTGGAGGATTTACGGTAACTTAAACTTGGGTAGTTTTCCTTTTGCACAGAAAATGTTTAAATTTAAGCATGATAGGAGATTTGTGACGGTAGTAACCTAAAATGTTTTAGTTTTTCTTTGTTTATGAGAGCAGGACTCTGCATATATAGATATGGGAAATAAAGAGTTAGACATATCGGTATGTTAGATATTGGTAAAAAGGTCAATATTGAGAATCTCAAATTTTTATATAAAAATTGCAACATAGATACTAACACATTTACCTAAATTATCAACAAGCTTATTTATGACAAAGCAAAAGAGATCAAACTAAAACTAAAAACATAAACAGGTGTTCCTCATTTGATCATCCCAGTTTAGTTTGATTCTGTTGATGGTGCAACAGAGACACGTCTGGTTGACCATCAGTGCATCATGACAGCCAAACACAGGGCAGCTGTGATGAGCACAGACAGCAGTACCACACACACTTCCTGAGACAGTCTGAGATGTTCTGGTAATCCCTGGTTGTCCTCCAGCGTGTTAATGCCTTCATCCTCGTTGCGTAAGGCAGACGTAACAGAGTTGTGGAGCAACTAACTCGGTAATCCCTTAAACCACTGCAGAGTTAACCACTGACCTGGATTCAAGCTCAGGACAGACAGGTTTCTTTCTTACCTCCAGACTCCAGGGCGTAGTCCACCAGGCCTGTTCGGTCCTGGGAGTACAACTTCAGGGCGTTCTGGACAATCAGCTTCACGTGCTGAGATGTAGACCACAAAACAAGATTACAATAGCTCCCATTTTAGTAGCTCCTGGTTAGGATATAAATTCTCAGGAAAGCGCATATGCACCTCTTCACTCAGCCCCTCAGAAGCAGATGCGTGGTGGACAGTACCGGTTATAGTCTGAACAATGTTTTGGGATTGGGACTTGGCTTCACTGAGCGTCTGGGACCGGCTGAGCTCCATCTGCTGTGAGATGTTACTCAGGATGCTGAGCTCCAGTGAGGCCAGTGCCGCCTGCAGGTCAGGTGTGCTGACGTAGCGCTGGGACAGCCAGAGCACCAGAGACTCCGGCACCTGACCCTGCTGCTCTCCTGATTCACCAGCACCAAAGAACAGAGCCTGCAGTTCTTTCCGTATCTGCGAGGACACCTGGCCAGATATCTGGAAGCAGAATAAAATCTAATTATGATAAAGTAAAACCTTAGAAACACTGGAAGCTGCAACAGCTGGCCTTGTTAATACAAGAGCATCGCTTTGCCATTTACCGTTTCCTGCAGAGTGTCCAGCTGTTCACATCGGCCCTTGCATCCAAGAACACCCTGGAGGTCCCCTTTGATTCTACTAAGCTCCAACTCAAGCTTCTGCACCTCTGCCAGCAAAGCGTCATGGTCCTCCTGCTTCACACCCACACTGAGGAAAAACAACATGTTACAGAAAAACCTGCTAGCAAAATGCTAAAGAAGAGTAACATATCATATATTTAACATCCTGGTGGAGATTTGAGGGTTTAATTTGTCCCTTTACCTGACAGGAGCCGTCTCCGCTGCTGGTGTGATGACCTCCTTCACGCTCTCGTCCTTATGGAGTTCATACTGTTGCTGCTTCTGCTGCATCTCCTACAACAACAAGGGCAGAACACTCGCGTCTGATTTTGTCTCTCAGGAAATCACCGTCAGTTGGACTTTATTATTGTCCCAGTAGAAGGATAAGTCCTGCATAATAACACCAGTACAGCTATCACAAAAAAGCATCAGTCTGACGTTTAAACTGCTTCTCCAACCCCTCTATCACACCGGTAGGTAAATTGTAAAAAGGTCTAAATGAGGCTTGGATGGATTTGACCAACTTTTCTTTGGACAGTTTTTCAAAAGCTCTCATGAGAAGGGAAGTTACACAGGTCTACAATCACTCATGTCCTTGGGGGACATGTTTTCATTAAGTTGATACTAATGTCCACTGATGTGTTTTCTTTATCTAACTCATTCACTGCCATAACTGCGTTTTTTTCAACGGGGCAGGCCTGGGAACGAGCTTGCGCACCTTGAGAGTAAACAACCGGCTCTAAAGTGGATTTTCGTCCATGTACGTCACACGTCACATGATCAGGAAGCAGACAATCTATGAATTAGGAGATCGTTTTGGGACGCCGCCATGCCTTAAGTGAGACGCAAACAGGAAAAGCTTCTGCAGCTCACACTTCCGACAACAGATTGTGAAAGAACAGAATAGGCTAGAAACACGCCGATTCTTCCTGGTGTATGAAGCGAGTCGACTCTTTATTTTGGTAGTTTTGGTGTTTACATGATCATAGAGCTCAAAAACGCTAGCAGTCAGGGGCTTTCTGATCAGAAAACAGCTGGCAGTGAATGAGTTAAAAGATGAGATCAGTCACTTCTAATCAATGTGTGACAAAGCACCACCATAGGGCTGTCTGTCTTTACATTTACTTCGACTCAGACATATTAAATCAGAAACGGATCATGTTTAGGGTAGGGTAATGTCATGCGCGTGTCTTATTGAGATAAAAAAGAAAATTGCAGTGGAAGCTGCTAACACACCTCAGTCCTCGTTGCCAAAGCCTTAAGCAGCAACTCTAAATCTGCAAGACGTGCTGCCTGACTTTCCTGTTGCTGTTTCTGCAGCTCTGCACTCTGCAAAAAAGGAAACAAATTAAATGTGTTTGTCTAAAACAAAATGTTCCCCCCGTGTTTTTAAACATAAACATACTTGTGCTGCGTGTGTGTTCTCCTGCTCCAGTTTCTCTCGCAGCACGCCGAGTCGCTGCTCCAGTAAGGAGGACATCCACGCCTCCAAACGCTCCCTTTCAGTATGAGTGTGGAGCTGCTCTCTTAGGGTTGTGTAAAGACCCAGGATGTCACGGTGACGCTGATCCTGCTTCTCGTCTCCCTGCTGGACTCGGTCCCGCAGCAGAGCTAGCTGGTGTTCGACACGATCCAGGCGCTCCAAGTCCACACCAGAAACCACAACTGGGGGAAGGATTGGCTGAAGAGGAAACATTTAAAGGATGACCCAAGACCGGATTTCTCCTGACATGTTTAAACAAGAGGATGGAGTGCTGTAGTGTTGCTTACTGCTGCATGTGAAACTGGGGTGGCCGGAGTCTGTTCCTTTGGAGGCTCTGATGCAGGAGCAGATGCTGGAACAGCCCCAAAGTTAGACAGGAAGAGGAGGGGAGATACAGGACGCCACTCAGTGAGGTTAACGGTTGGGAGGTAGGCTAGCAGGGCAGCAGCGGAGGGACCCCACAACCACAAAACTGACACAGAAAACAGAAAGTACAAATTAATGTCATCAATTTGAAATTAGTAGATTTTCACAACAGAAACTATGTGCTTCACATTTAATTCCTACTGATTATATGTACAGCACCCATAATTATCATATAAAGTAATTTCTACTTCTAAACTGGAAAATGAAGTTTTGGTCTGAACTTAGAGCGAAGCCTTGGGAAGGCTGACCTGAATCTGCTGCTGTGGAACTTGTAATTCACTCTAGAGACGTGTGCTGGTTCTACATTCATACAGCCTCCACACTGAGCGATCACTTCTGTGTGTGTGTGTGTGTGTGTGTGGGTGTGTGTGTGTGTGTGTGTGTGTGTGTGTGTGTGTGTGTGTGTGTGTGTGTGTGTGTGTGTGTTTGTGTTTATTAAGCTAAAAGAATGGGTTGCATCTGCAAAACGATGAAGACTAAAGTTTGAACAAACTTACGTAGGAGGAGTAAAAAAGGCAGAAGGAGCAACAGGAGCCTCCAGAGTTTGGGAAGGCATCTGAAAACACAGAAACACAAACCGATCAGATCCAAACACAGCTGACGCGGGTGCATATCACTTAAAATGAAAAAGAAGGGAAGGTTCTTAGATATTTCAATTATACATCATTTCTATAAAAAATCTGTAATATTCTCAAAATGTTCATTTTTTATTTTACCTCATATTTCGTACCTTTTCCGCATTATTGTGATTAAAGCTAAACTCAACAATGTGAAATAATTCACTCAATATGTTAGAAAATAACACATTCATACAGCTCTAGAGAAACAGCTCAGTGGTATGGGTGTCTGCCCTGAGGCTGGGAGATCAGGGTTCAAATCCTGGACGGGTCATGTTGAAGACTTCGAAAAATGGGACCCATTGCCTCCCTGCTTGACACTCAGCATTAACCCCAAAATTCCACTATCTCCGCTCTGCTCTGCTCCGGCACGAACTCCGCAGCAAAAACGGTCCCGTTGTAGTCAATCAGAGCTCTTCCACTACTGCGGCCGTGCGGCGCAGTGCGCCGCCCGCCGTTCCGCCATAAGGCAAAATTCTATTTTGGCCGGACGCCGGAGCACCTCCGCAGTCAATGGACAGAAATGACAACTGCCCAACAGGAAAGGGAGCAAGCACAACTTCTGTTATTTCACAATAAATCGATAAACAAAAGGCGTTTTTTGTTTCATATGCACAGGTTTAACAACTTTTAACAACTATCAATGGCGGCTGAACTTTAAATGCACAAAAATAAGCCATAAATACAGTTTCCACTATCAAAGTAGTCACACTTTGTTGATCCAAACACTGCTGATCTCTCAACACAAATGATGGGCTGATTAAACAGTTCATTTCGATGCTTCTCCCACACAACGGGTGTTGGGATCTAACTTCCGCGTTTATTGCTCGGACTGTATCGCAAGATTTCGAAAATCCTGCGCATGCCTGTTTGCCCCCCTCAGGTCTCCGCACCGGAGCGGAGCCGTTGTAGAGCGGGTACCAGTATAATTTGAGTTCGGAAGCGAGCGGCAGCGGAAAGCGGGGGCGGAGATAGTGGAATTTTGTGATAAGGGGTTGGATCGATTCCCCAGCGCACCTGTGTCTGCAGCTCACTGTTCCTCCAGGCATGGTCACATCAGTGTGTGTGACAACTTTACTTTAACTTTAGGAATGTTCTAAAATCCTGTTTGTTTACAGTCACACTACAGAACACTGGAACATGTCAGAGGCCGTTAGAGGGAACCAGACCAGTGACACGGAGCTGAAAGTTCATCAAGGTCATTTGAGTTTATGCATCATACTTGATTTACTGCCATTATAAAATAATCATTATGGAAGTCACTTTTAAATGCAAAGGCTAAATAAACTCCTCTGTGTGCTGATTTATATTTAGATCAGTAGATAGGGTTCTTACTGGGTCAGAAAGAAGACGTTGAGGAGAGACATGAGAGACACCAGCAGGTACCATCCTCTAGCAAGAAACCACATCAGTCCCTTGCATCCATTCACTGAATCAATAGATTAAAAACACAGAGAACAAGAAACTAGTTAAGCCAAAGAGAAACTCTGTTCATGTTTTTATAAAGGTGGAACAATCCTCTGCAGCACCAACCTGGAGACGCCAGGAGCATCCAGACAAAAGAGACGAGCCTCTGTGCTGCTGCTCCGACTCCTGAACCCAAAGCTTTACCTGCTCTCACCACACCGTACGCTGGCAGCAGGAGGCAACAGCCTGAAACATGAAGCCAAAACCTTCCATAGCTTCAAAACAATCTGAGTTACACAGACATGCATGTGAAAGTATATTTATAAATGTTAAAGCTACTTTAAAAAACTGTTGATTAACCTGCAAAAGTTAATACGCTCCACAGCGCCCCCACCAGGCACTGGGAGCGGGAGGACTGAGAGAGGAGGGTGGTGTGTGTCTCAGAGTACTGCTTCCCTTTGCAGTCATCACCTGTTTACACCAACGTGAAGAACAGCAAGCAGAAAAAAATGAAGCTGAGTGGATTTAGACGTTCAAACTGCAAAGAAATCATGTCACAGCTGCAAATTCTAAAAAGTTGAATCAAATGTTGATAAAAAACCATTCCTGCAAGTTTTTTTCCTCATACACTCTCTGCTAAAAGAAACATCTGCTGGTCATGCAGGTCAACAGACTGCTGATCAGTTAGTCGTTCACACAACTTCCACCGTGTGATTCTGACTCAGGGCATGCATATCGTTTACTCTGTCAATCACACCAACACAGAAGATTCTTGTATTCAGCAGAAAAGGGGCCATTTTCTGTTTGCTTACACAGGGAACCGTTGAGATTAAGATGAGATGCGTCTTCATTCACCAGATCCTTCACGTTCATGCTTCCACAGAAACTCGAGTGAGCTGCAACACAAAAACAAAAGATTTGCATTAAAACATGTCGGAGCGTGACACCATGAAGGATGATGAGATGAGAGAAGTCTCGTCGGCAGTGGGAGGAAAAAATCTAGTTCTTAATCCAGAACCTCACCGCGCTGAGAACGTGCACAGCTTCTCTCTAAGGTGGTACGCACACCCCTTTACCAGCAAGGCTCATTTATGTCCAGGTTATTTGGAGCATTTAACATGTTAAACTAAATGTGACGTTCACTTCACAATATCACAAACGTGCTTGTAGCAATTTTGCCACAAAGTTTTGTTTGAATTGAATACTATACTATACTATACTATACTATAGTATAGTCATGTCAATCCCATGACAATAGATTGTCATGGGATTGACATGACTATAGTAAAGAAAACAATTGAGTATGTTGTTAAACCACTTACTTATGTTTGTAATTTGTCTGTTCAGAATGGTATATTTCCAGAAAAAATGAAAATCGCTAAAGTAATTCCAATATTTAAAAAAGGTGATAGACATAGCTTTGATAATTACGGACCAATCTCAGTGCTTCCCCAGTTTTCTAAAGTGCCTGAAAAGTGGTTCATTCAGAAACTAGACAACTTTATTGAAAACAATAAACTGCTGAGTGACAATCAGTATGGATTTCGATCAAATAAATCTACATCCTTGGCATTACTAGAATTAAATGAAGAAATTACAGCAGCAATAGAAAGGAAGCAACACACAGCAGGTCTGTTTATTGATTTAAGAAAAGCATTTGATACCATAGACCATAGTTTGTTACTTTCTAAGTTAAAGAATTATGGGATAAGAGGGATAGCTCATGATTGGTTAAGTAGTTATCTGACTAAAATAAATCAATTTGTACAGTTAGAAGATGAAATTTCAGATTCTCAAATTATTACATATGGAGTCCCACAGGGTTCTGTGTTGGGACCTAAGCTCTTTAATTTGTATATTAATGATGTTTGTGATCCAAAATATTACAGTTCATTTTGTTTGCTGACGATACAAATATATTTTGTTCTGGGAATGACTTACAAATTATTCTGGAAAATATGGATTGTGAGATGACTAAACTTAATAAGTGGTTTATGGACAATAAACTATTTATAAATTGGAATAAAACAAAATTCATGATTTTTGGTAACAGGAAGACAGATGATTCTGTTACATTGTCCATAGATGGTAATTCATTTGAAAGAGTAAATGAAGTAAGATTTTTAGGGGTCATCTTGGATCATAAACTTAATTGGGAACCCCTTATAAAATATATAAAACAAAAACTGTGTAAAAGTATTGGACTTTTAAATAAAGAAAAAGCATTTTGGAGTCATCAACACTTCATATATTATATTATTCATTTATTGTTCCATACTTGACTTATTGTATAGAGGTTTGGGGCAACACATATAAAGCAAACACTAATCCTTTTTTTTATTACAGAAGAAAGCTATGAGAATTATATATAAAGTAGATGCTAGGGAACATACCAATAGACTTTTTATTGAATCAAAAATTATGAAATTCAGGGATTTGGTTAATTTGAAAACTTTACTAATTATGTTCAGGGCAAAAAAGAGGTTACTGCCAGTGAAGTTACAGAAGTTTTTTGTTTTGATTTCAAATGATGGAAAAAATAGAAAGAAGCCTGAGTTTAAGAGTTTTTGCACGAACAACATTAAAGCAAATGTGTATTTCAGTATATGGAGTAAAATTATGGAATAATCTGGATCATGACCTGAAAAAATGTTTAACTACCGATCAATTTAAGAGACTATATAAAGAAAAAATCATGCAATCGTATGACTGATAAGTAAATATTGAATAAGTATATTGATAAGTTTGATTGTGATTTTGTTTACAAAGATAAGGAAGTTCTATACTTGGTTTGTGTAAAAGGCCATTCTGTAAATTACATTGTATGAAGTACAAAGAGGTAGGTAATATAAGACTTCTTCTACCTCCCCCTTTTTTTCACTTAGGAGACTGTTGATGATTGTATTTTGCATGAATGATGTATGAAACTGCCGAGTGAGAAATAAATTAACAATTAACTCTGTCCCACATTTCTAACTCGCAGAAATTAAACTGATGTTCTAGAGCTCTGATTATTTAAGAGAAAATTTGTTTTACGAATCGTATAAAAATCCAGCGACACCACAGCAAAACTCTTTAACTCAGATTCAGAACCGTCTCTCAGGAACAATTCTATTGGAATCTCCTCCACAAATGCTGCTCATAATATGTCAACAAGCGCCTGAGCCCAGTGAAAGACTGATTCTGATGAGTAAGACATAAACTACAGCGGCACGAAACAGAGGAGAATACAGAGCAGTACCTGCTGGAAACTAGAACTACAAATGAAGAAGTGACACTCATGCACCAGAATAAAATCCTCCCAGCTGCAGGAAAAGTTAGTTGTGAAGGTAAAGCATGCAGGAGATGGGACTAAACGGAGACAGATGATTTCTGTGGTGACCCCTGAAGGGAAAAGACAAAGAAATAAGAAGAAGCTGCAGAAAAAGCACCTTAAATCAGAAGAAAACCAGTGGGAATCATGAGAATTTACATTTGGAGATTCTTATAAGTTCTTAATAACAAAAACACACAAGTTGAAAAGTCTTGGCTGTTTGGTTTGAAGTCATTTAAATGTAAAAATAACATTTTAACCTTATTTAATACAACTCCGGCAGTAATCTGAGTTCATGAAGAACTCATTCAGGGGTTGTTTTATTGCTATTTAACTTCCTCATTTAAAAATATAAAAATAGAAAGTTGGACAGTGAAAAAGGAAGCAGACACTCCCACTCTTTATTTCAATGTAAAGCTTCATTCCATTGAAAAGAAACTGTAAGCTGTTAAAATGAGAGAAAGTTAACGAAGAGCCGCAGCAGCAGAGGTGAGAAGTGGTGAACTTTAACCTCTTCCTCATGTAGCAACAGCAGGTACCTTGTTCTTCATAGGCAGCCGCCTTGGAGCTCATGGTCCTTTGGGAAGCAGTCTGCTTAAGCAGCCAAAGTTTGGACAAACTCAGGGAAGTCGTTTGTCTCACCGAGTCCCAAAACGATGCTAGGACACCTAGAGACATGCCTGTCCATAAAAGCACCGTTAGTTCAATTGGAAACTCAATTTACGAAAGACAGATCACTGAAAAGGAATATCAGTTAGGAATCTGAGAAGGAAATCAAAGAACTTCCTTGGAAAAAATCCTGAGAATAAAAAGAGAAAATAATCAGTGATCAAAATAAAGGAAGAGGTTTAGATAAAAGGTTAATATCAGATTTGAGGTGGGAAACGACACGAGTCAGGATGGGACGAGGTTTCAGACAAGCAAATAAAATAGAACAAACAAAGAAAAGGCTGTGTACCTTTTTCTGATGAACTTTTGACCCATGAACCCACACGGACCACACTACTGAAGAAAAGGGAGACTACGGAGATGATGGGTGCCAGGGCTTGTTTGCTGTACTGCCAACACGAGTTAGACACAGACATCAAGACTCCTGGAGAGAAGCACCGCTCTCATTATCACAACTCCACTTTTAACATTCTAGCACTGACATAACAGTAAATAATTTAATTTCAAGCAGACGTGAGGATTTCTTCCCACCTGTCCTGTTCCTCCGACTCCTGTCTCTGGTGTAGATGCTGGTGTAAGGTGAAGAGGGGGAGGACAGGGCATTGGTGGAGAGTTCTCCTTCTGCTTGAGCTGACGACAACAGTGACGACGATGACGTCCGTGTGATGGAGGAGTTCGTCTTCTGAGAGTGTAACGAGCAGTCTTTGCAGATGTAGCCATTAGCGAGTAGCGTGTGGGACCCTGATGAGCTGGCGTCGCCGTTGATGCTGGATGAACTGTGACCGGAGCTCTGTCCTGGGGGGGCACAGTGAATCATAGGGGAACAACGTAAAATGATTTTATATGACAATCATGTTGATTAACCCTAACCCTCCATCTGATCATTATGTTTGCTCAGATTCTTCTCATCCTCTTTTCAAGATCCAGAACTTTATTTCCCTTTAATGAAAACTCCAGTGCCAAGTAACGACCTCTGTTAATAACTAGGGATGTGTTGAAGCATGGACCTTGAAGTTGGGCCACAAATATTTCTTAAATTATTCCAACTGACCCCACTGCCCGTCCACAGTGGTGGTTGTAGTAGTGGTGGTGGTGATGGTACGGTGTCTCAGGTGGGACTGGTCATATGCCGTGTTGAGATTTGAGACCTCGGCCGTCCTGCTGCTCTCCTCAGCTCTGCTGTTGTCAATCGGGGTGCTGACAGCTGAGAAGGACAAGGTTTGTCTCGGTGTGGCGATCTGGCTCAGGGACAGAGACAGGGAGCTGGAGCTGGGCAGCTGTTTCCTGCTCCGAGGCGTCCTGCAAGTGCACAAATAGGAGACAACAGAAACAGCTCAACCAGACTCAAAGTCATTATTGTAAAAAAAACATTTTAGAGAGCAGAAAACATCTAGACATCGGCCTGACTGTGACCTCCACAAGCATCAGTGTCGGCATGAGGAAAAACCTCATCAGTCTATCTCAATTTGCAACCTGAGTAATGTGCACACTGATATTACAATAATGATAAACTAGCCTAATGCTGTGCAGCCCTAATCAGCAGCCAAACACATTTTCAAATCAACATTTTTTTCTCCTTTGCACAAACTGTTACTCATAACCAGCATGCTTATGTTCACAAATAACTGCACCAGTTGTTTGGATTTGATTTGGATGCATAGCAGATATTCATCAAGAGCAGCAGCTCCACATCTTTTACCAGTGGAGCAGAGAGTTGGAACTCTTCTTCACCAGTAAAACCGGCATACACTCACCTCTAAAACATGCCCAATACGTTTTGATGCAAATATCAAGATGCAAGTTCTAAGTTAATGAATAAAACCAGTGAAGTGACACCTCCTCTCATCAGGAAACACTTTGCTCTTTGTTTCAGAGGGAAACTCCTCAACCACTCATCAGTTCTAGCTGAATCATAAGCTGCCTGGTACGGGAAGGACAGTTACTTTATTGGCAAGTAAGGGAGGGATTCGAAAACTGGTTCCCATTGTTTCAATTCCTAGGAATCATTCACCACTTTTGCAAATGATTCCCTTAATCAATTCCACTCGGCATGAATGACGTCACCGGTTTGTGTAGCTCACAGAAGCAGGAAACATGGCGTCCAAACAGCACAAATGCTCGAAAGTTTGGTCATATTTTACAAGAAAGCATGACAACAGGGTAACTTGCAATAATTGCAATTTGCAAAGAAGACATTTCATCAAGGGAGGAAGCGTAACGAATATACAAAAGCCTTTGGGCACAAAATACGCAATAAATTATTGACGTGTTCTGACTGGCTCCAGACAACGCAGCAGCAGCTGAGATGTTCGCACGGCCTCTCCTATTAATGCTGTTTATCACGTTAGCATCATTTACCTTATACACTAGCAAGACTCCAGCAACAAAGGTCTGACCTGTGGCAGGGGTGGATTTAGGACTGAAGAAGATCCGGGGCTTAACACACGCACGCACGTGCGTGCACGTGCACGTGTGCACATACACACACATGTGACACGCACTAGTCAACATCATATATATTACAAATCACAAATATTTTCAAATAAGACTCACAAACCTGAGTCAACACCAGTCTCATCAAAGCTGGGGTCCTGTCGCGGTACTTTTGGTCTAAAAAAACGCCCTTATGTCCATCTTTACATTTGCGTTTCAGGCAGAGACTGTAGAAGAAGCCGGCGATAAGGGTCTGGCTGCAGCCACTGTGGAGCTCCACAGTAATCGGAAGCACGTGACCTCCACAGTAGCCATAAACACTCATGGATACCGCGGATGTCTTGCAAGTCGATCGCAAAGGTTGGGACAGTCTTTCTTAAATAAACTTGCCGTTAGTGATTTCATAATTCTAGTTTTCTTACAATGATCATGTTGCCACTTTTTTTTTTTTTTGCGTTACAACATTCCTTCTTATTTTAATTTTTTTTCCCATCATGCTCCATGGCAGAGAAACACACAGATGTGCTTTTTCCTGGGCCTGGTTTAAGTAAGAGAGTTGGATTAACGGCTTCTGTGAGCGAGAAGAAGAAAAAAAAACACATTTTGCATTAGAGTATGACTTATTGTTGGCATCAGAGATGCAAAATGACGAATACTTCAATACTGTACTTAAGTAAAATTTTCTGGTATCTTAACTGCTGTACTTTTTTGTGCCTACTGTATACTTCTTTATACTTCTACTTCTCACATTTTAGCAAGCATGTCTGTACTTTGTAATCCGTACATTTGTAAATCAGCCCCCCGCACGCGTGCTTTGGACGCAAGATTACTTCAGAATTTTGTACATAAATTATATTTTATACCCTGTACTTCTTACTTCCACTTGAATAAAAAGTCGAGTCAATGCTTCTACTTTTATTTGACTATTTTTAAACAGAGGTATCTAAACTGTAGTAAGGAACGTGAGTACTTTTGACACCTTAGGTTAGCGTCAACACCGTAAATTTCATCACAAACAGATTTATATATTTATCAATACTTCTGTTCGTTATTCTACTCTGTAGAGCGTTTTTATTGCCCAGATTTTAGTCAGCCCCTGTTCAATTGACTTTTATATGTCAATAGAAACATATCTCACAAATGAAAATGTCTTGTAAGATGTTTGTTTTTTTCAAGAATTTTCCTCCCAAATCTATTACATGCTAACTGTAATGTGTTATTTCTGCTAAAACCTAAACTTAAATGTGTATATGCTGTTTATCTGTTTTTCTCTCTGTTTTAGATGCACATATCAATCTGCAATTCGGGCTTAAAGCCAGAATTGCAGGAATGCAACACGTGCTGCAGAGGACTCTTTCACTGCCCTCTGTGCCCCACTTCCAGCCCTACTGTCAGGGCAAAGATTGAGGAGCATCTAGGTGTGCATATAAAAAATGCTTTGCATTTCAACGGTATGTTTGTATTAAATATACTTTATAGTTGTAAATATGCACTTTTTAAGCACTTCTGCAGTATCTTTGTTGACTTAAAAGTTGCTGTTGACATTGTACAGTTCAGTGCATTCATCTGCCACAAAACAGCGTTTTTATAAAATATATATTTTTTTACTTTTCACCACTTTTCTTGACATAACTTTTGTGATCCATACCATTTTGCTTTCATTATTGAGGTTGGCTTGGATGTTTTTGTTAACATGTACAATCTGATTGTTAGATAAATTGATTGCATTCTATACAACTAGATTTAAATTACATCTGTTTCTTTGTTTGTTTGTTTGTTTTCTCTTACAGATAAAATGATATGCCGGTGCAGGCTGCCTTGTAGGACAGCAGGACACTTTCACTGCCCTGTCTGTAAGACTACAATCATACGGCGTGGGGATTTGGCAAGGCATTTATTGTCTTGTCAGCATTCTTCAATGCCAAGTCAGCCACCATTATCAGGACTGCTCCCCGTTGAACTCTTCGAGGAGACCCGTATTCCTCCGGCAGAACACTTCGAGGAGCCCCGTCTCCCCCCAAAGGTTTTGTCTTTGGTATCTGAACCATTTTCTGAATCTTTGGTAGAATATTCATATGCTCTACCATCTGTGTTCAATAAAACTGCAGCTGATAGAAAGTCCATGAAAACGACATGCCCTCACTGTGGCCTTACTCTTCGTACCAAAAACTACAAGGCTCACATGATGAGGAAGCACTCCAACCAGTCAATAGATGTTTGCTTGGCCAGTCATCTGCAGTGTGTTTGTGTAGATGAAACTACAGGGTTATTTGCTGTGCAGAGAACTGGCCATGGGTTTTCTGTGCCAGTTCACGTTCAGAGGAAAACATGGGGGATGTCTCACAATATCAGATGTGAGCTGGAGGAATGTCAGCAATACCAGTTGCTGGCCCAGCGGAGCGGACTAGGCTTCAGTTTATGTGAGCACCTTCGCTCACTAGATTACTGCCGAGAAACTGTAAAGGAGGTTTTTCTTCAAGAGCACATCATGATGGAAATGGTGGACCTTAAATTTTTTGGAGAGACCAAAGCTGCTACATGCATAAAGAGACAGAAAGCTGCCCAGATGGCACATGCTCCACTTTGTGGAGGGTGGATTTTGGTGGATCCTCAACACAGATCTGTTTTTCTGTATTTGAGCCAGAAATACACAGTTTCTGCCATCTTGGTAGAATATTTGTGACTTACAATGCTCTGAGGAACACCTGGCATTGCACTTGTGCAAAGCCACGAATATCATGTCCTCATAAAAACATAGCTAAATGGCATCTCTTCCAGACACAGAGAGACATCTTCAAATCAACTGTACCACTATCATCAGGCACCCCATCACAGATGACTCAGGAGAGCTCTTCCTTTGAGGACAACACTGCCGTCTTTTGCCATACATTTCACACCGGAGCCTTTTATTTCTCAGCAGCATGAATAGTAACAAAATCGCAATTTGGTCAAAGTCGATTTAACTAAAATTACGTGTTTCCGGCTACTGTGAAGGTCACGTGTTTCCGGTTAGTGTGTAGGTCACGTGTATCCGGTTACTGAGGAGCTACACAGCGGCTGCAGCCAGGTGCTCTTGAAGCCGGCTGCTGAAGGGCTTCTTCAGTGGTGGAGGCTCAGGCAGGCTGTATACAAACCACTGCCAGCTGCTCCCTCTCTGTTGGACTTTGGTACTGCATGTTACTTCCACGTTTTAGATCTGGGGCTTTTCATAAAACATTCGGGGCTTGAGCCCAAGTAGCCGGGCCTAACGCCACCCCTGACCTGTGGTGAGATTTTTCCCACTCTACAAAAGCTACAGCAACACCGCACCGAACAAGAAGATAGCTGTGCCTCCACATGGAGCAGAAAGGAGAACATTTGAAAAGATCTTCGATCTTCCCAACCGATACAGGTACAACTGATTATTTATCATAACCAGGGTTTTTCCTGCATTCAAATTTGCATGGCGGCCGCCTCCAGCTAATTTTGTGCTGCTTCATTTTACGCTGCCCCCAGCTATATGGATGCTATTTTATCTGCAGTTGCAGCGTTGCGCCACTACAGGGGCGCTGTATCAGCAGTGGTGCACCGAAAAGCAATAAAACCGCAGCAGATAAAGATCAAAAATTGCTTTTCTCGCTAGTTGGTATTACATATCTGTGGTTGGTGTTATTGACGTCCTGATTTTCCCCAGGCTGTTCCATATCAGAGCAGGGCTGTACAGTGCGACGACAAAAACTGTCTGTGCGTGTCTGTCTATTTTTAAACGTAGCACTGGTGCAACATCTTTGAATTTCTATTTTACCCAGAACTTTCTTAAACAAATGTAAGTAACGTGTAAGAAAAATGCTTTTTACTGGCGTACATTGTGGTAATCAGGATGCAGTGGAGGAGAATAAAGGAACCAACAAAGGCAGATCCGGTCCAAAGTTTGGGATCAAAAGTGCAGCTACACGCAGATTGGCTAATGCTAAAGCTAATGGGTAGCAGTCTCATGATCAAGTGGCGCACAGAAAAATATATGATGATCGTAAAACTAAGAAAGACTAAACTCATTATGCATTAATGAAATGCATTATATTTTACTGGATATATTTATATGTTATTTTGACTAAGATGAGTGTTATCAATACAAACCTAAAATGTTACTGAAATGTAGGTCAAAAATTAAAAATATATTTTTAACTATAAATATCAGATGGGAAAAGAGAACTAAACACCAATTTAATGCATCTTATTGAGTATGCATGTGCTGGCGCATGGTCAGGATGGTACCACCTCTGCCTCAATTAGAGCCAGGAAAACCCTGATAACTGACAGTTATGTTGCAGGAGCGTGCACAGTTAGTTTTGTTCCACCTGTTTAACTACTCTGGAATTGATAAGGGATTGAACAGATAGACAGAATTGACAATGCCATTGATATTGATAAAAACGTATTAACTCATTCACTACCAGCCATTTCCTGATCAGAAAAGCCCTTCGCTGCCAGCGTTTTTCAGCGCTTTTACTGCCTTTTTAAGAGTCACAGAGCGTTGTGCGCTAGGATGATGTCGATGTCAAAACAAAGAGTACACTCACCTTTTACATCAGGAAGAATGTGCGTATTTCGAGCGTTATCTGTTCTTTAATAATCTGTTGTCGAATTGTGATCAGCAGAAGCTTTTCCAGTTCGCACCTCACTTTTTTACAGCAGCGGCCCAAAATTAGCTAACATGGATTTTCTGCTTCCTGATCACGTGACGTGTGATGTACACGGATGAAGATCAGCTTTAGAGCTCGTTCCGATGCCCACAGTAAAAAAATGCAAATGACGACTTTAGTCGTCATTGGCAGTGAACGAGTTAAGAGCAAGGGCTTCCAATATTATCACAACAAAATGCAACATGACTCTTAAACAATTGCAACAGTGAAAAGTTCGATATGAATGCTATCCAAAACAAAAATACACATCCTGACCCTGTTGCTGTTTGAAACATTTAGCTGTACATATTTTAACTTCAGGGTTGGGCATCAAGCATGGATTGGAACCGGTTCCAACTGTTAGTTTTTCCCGCAATCAAAGTTTTTTATTTCGATTCCTAGAATGCTGACCAGAAGAGGAATCTGCAGCGATCTCTGTGAAAAATAAACGTGATCTGCAAATTTTGATCAACGCTTTTCAGAGCTGATCACACCAGCTGTCTGTGTGCAGCACCGAGTCCCCCTCCCCCCACCTGGCGCGCAGCGGCCAAATATAAAAATGTCTGCCGAACTTTTACTCCGTAATGTAAACTTTAACTCCTGCAGCGTAGAGGAAACTTGTTAAAATACGTCAACGCGGTGGATTTAATAGAAGCTTTAAAGAACAAACTCTGGACAGTGTGAGGTGAGTTTGTCTCACAGCAGAAATAAAAACACACACGGAGCGTCAGCAGTCAGATGCAGCCAGCTACATTTAAGTTTTACTTTCTGTTCTGACTGAATGCTGCTGCAGCATGGAGGTGTAGTTCTCAGTCATCCTGGACATGATCATCCTGAGAGTTTTAGCTGAAAACAGCTGGACGTTTTTGGATATGTTGGAGACATTTAGCCTCTCATCCCAGAGGCTTCTTCCAGACTTTGGTTGTGGTCAGAAACAAACACACTGGTTGTGCTGCAAGTCTTTTATCTTTTTTTCTCCAAAACATGTTTTTGTCTAAATGAAGGTGATGTTGTTGTTCATAGAATTAAGATTCATGTTGAAGTTAAGATTATTTCATCAAGTAGGACCTGCGGTTAGCTAAAACACGTAATGTCTATGAAGAATCGGAATCGGGAATCGATAGGAACCGGAATCGAAACAAGAAATCGGAATCGGAATCGGAATCGTTCAAAATCAAACGATGCCCAATCCTATTCAGGACTGTGTCGCTTAATCCTCTTACACAATCAAGGAGATCCCTTCAGCTTGACTCACCGCGTCTCTCTCCTGGTGCTGGCGTAGCTGCTGCTGTGGTTCTGGGAATAATCAGCCAAGCTTTCGCTACCATAATGCCGGGAACTGTTCTGCAGGCGCAGACTCCTCCGTGACATCTTAGGCGACTCGTAGACGGGAGCGATCTGGTGCTCCTTCTCAAACTCTAATGCTGCAGTGGAGTAACTGGAACTGAGACGGGAAGAAGAAACAGCAACAGTTAGAAAGTTGAGCAGGAAAATGGTTAGTGACGACTGGGGCATGGCAGGACACTAAAGAGGAAATGAGCTTCTCCTATCTGCTGCTCTGAGATGCATTTAAAGGCAGAATCAATAAGACATGCAGCATTTTGTATTCCTGGTTTCTCATATTCAACAAGTCAACTTTAAGGATGTTTTTCCTTAAATGAAAGCTTTTACCTTAAATGAAAGCAAACAGTTTTTTATAGCGCTGCTGTAACATTGTTTTCTGCACAGGGCAATGTTCCACACAGGAAATGACTCACTCACTCATATGGGAGACAGAAAAGACCAGAGAAAGAATGGGCACACTGTGTCTCGAAGTCAAATCAGGCAAATATACAGAGTAAACATCCTCAACTATGCAAGCAGACTAAGGAAAAGAAACCTACACAATGTCCAAACCAAAGCTGAGTGGAAACACCATAAATTTTTGCCATGCTTTACTGTGGGCCACACCCACCTGGCAGAGCCACGCCGCGTCAAGGCCAGCACCTACAAGCCATCACAGCCTCTCATTGCTGTAATAAACAAAAATGATAACATACAAAATGCTCAAGCTATCTTCCACTGACAGGGTGGAAAGTTAGATTAGCCTGTGTTATAAAATGCACACCTCTAAACACACAGCTGCATAACAGAGAACGTTACTGTTTACACACAACAGCCATCAGGTTTATGATGTGAGCAGCAGCCACCAGCCTTGATATCAGGCAGCAACTGAGCAGAAAGGTGAATGTGAACGCATCACACAGGTAGGTTTGCAGCCTTGTGGCACTGAGGGATTACACTTTCCCAGCTAGAGCCAATTAAGTGCTTTTGTGGCATTAACCCCCTGCCTGCTGCACCAACTACTTCACCTTTGACTAGACAACCAGGAGGGTTTCTTTACCTTCTCACTGGTCCCGGCTGATGCAAAACCTTTACCAATAATTGATAATACAAACAAAAGAATCAGTTAAGGTTCTGTCAAACAGCTGCAAGTTAACATCATAATCTATCTCATCCACGCCAACATCTTTTTTAAAATAGTTGCTCTTATTTTGCACAAAAGCTTAGAGATCTCCTTACGGACCAACAGAACAATCAGTTTATTCCATGATACACATGCTTATCTTACTTCATTTGAAATTCAAATACCAGAAGAGAGTTTGGAAACACAGAATATGAGTAAACATTACCCTACACATCTTAAACCCACAGGGTCATGCGATCCTGAGAGCGGCTGATCCAGTCAGTCCGGTCTACAGAGAGAACTACAAAGCTTGTTGCATCTTTCTGAGCTGCATCCTGAGCCAAAGCAACTATATGCATTGGCATTTATCAGTCTGTGTAAGAGTACACATCTCAGTGATAATGTCAGTGTGACATGTGACACTGAGTTTGAGGTGTGGAGACAACACTGGAGGGCAGACACGACTGTGTAGCCTGCAGCCTTGTATAAACATTAATAGAAACATCTCTACTCATCAAATCTTAAAAATCTTTGGTTTAATTAAGAAGTTTTACAAAATCTGCTACCATTTGGTAAACTTTAATTAGTTTTACACTCTTGAGTTGGTGTGTGTGTGTGTGTGTGTGTGTGTGTGTGTGTGTGTGTGTGTGTGTCACCCTTCTCCCAGGTGGCTCCGACGGCCCACATAAGTGATATAAATAGATGGATGCAGCCTTTTCAGAGGCGAGTACAAAGACAGCTGAAGAGACGGACACGCACGGCAGATAAACACAAGACGTCCATCCCGAACAGAGACTCCTGAATCCTCTGTTACATAACAGCGGGGATCTTTGGTCGCTTTCCCAGACTTGTGTGGGCACCACTAAACATTTCTTTGGTATTTTTTTCCTGCTTCACTCAATTCTTTGTGTTTTCAGTTGACAGCAAACAATGCAGAGTGCAATGAAAAACACAAGCCACAACACAATTATGACAAATAAAAGACAAAGGACAAAGACATTTTATGTCAAAATAGGAAATACTTGGAGCATTTTAAGCTTTGTTTTTTATTATTAAAAAAACAATTTAAAGAAGAAGACAATGATGATTGATCTAAATATAATGGAAACATCAGATCACCCATCATCAACTGCATGATTATGACAAAACCGATAATCCAATGTGATGGTTGTATTTATTCAGAAATGGGAGGGATTCTTACTATGAAAACTGCTAAATGTTCAACATTTACCAGCAGTTTAATAAAGTCTGAGTTAAATTGAGGTTTCTAATTATTTGTGAAGTGCAAAAGACAGATGTGTTTAATCGTTTTTTAAAAGTAGTGATAAAAGTTTGAGTGTGCAATGTCGATGCCATGTTAGACTTACTGTCCCTACAGAATAAAAATAAATAAATAAAACTCAGGTGTTTAGGGACTGTGTGTAAAAATGTGTTAAAAAGACACAACAATACACAAAAACAATCCTAAAGGTGCAAAAGTGTTAAAGATATTAAAACATAAAGCTCATGGCAGTCAATCTACAGCAGGCAGATCAGTTATTAGGGATGGGTACCTTTGACGATTAAATCGATATACCAATTCCCGGTACCCATGAATCGATACCGGTACTTAACGGTACCAATTTTCAATACTTTTGAGTGTTTAATAATTATTCAAAATGCTTTTTTAATTAAATATATATTATTTTCCCAATATATAACCATATTTGATAAATATCATGAACTGTTTGTATTTTATCGTCACAGTGTTGTACAAAATTCTTCAATATGAAAACCTTTAACAACTGTTTCTAAATAACGAAAAAGCAAACCCAGCTCCGTGGACTCCTAATCCTCTTCTAATCCCTCTGGAATAACTATGATGAGGAGACCATGTATTATAAACTACAAATGAAACAAAAACAACCCTCGATACCATACAAATGTTTGTATTTTAATATTCTGGTGTTTCACAAACTTAACACAGCTCCATGTACTTCTTTTCCTCTCCTTTCCCCTCTGGACAAACTGTGTGATTGGGGTGTAACGGTACGCTAAAATCGTATTCGGTTCGGTTCAGTGTTTTAAAGAGTTTGGTTCGATTAATTTTCTGTATATTATTATTATATTTATGTATTTATTTATTTAATAATATCTGAAGTGGCTCCTATAGTGAGCAGATCCAGGTGTCATCACAGGCTGCTGATCTAGCATGATGTCTTTATTTGCGCAGCTATGAGTGTCACGTTCATGCAGACAAGTGTTGTGTTTGACTGGTGATGCTCCGTGTTTTTATTTCTGCAGCGAGCCTTAAAAGCTCACCTCACAACACCCAGACTTTCTTCTTTAAAATCCGTGTTAAATAACAAGCTTCCTCCGCGCCGTATTTTTCGTTGTAGGATGAAAACTTTACATCAATTGTCCCGGGGGAAAATTCAGAAGACATGGTTGTTGACATTTTTGCCGCTGTGTGCCAGCAGAGTGACCCCGGTTTCACACTGCAAACGGAACAGCAGCGGAGCGGCTAACTCGCGAACTTCAAAGCGGTCCTTTTCACACCGGGAGAGTCTTGGCCGCGGCACGGCTTCCTCGCTGCGCCTCGCTGTACCCGCGAGATTCAAATATCCCTCGAGACTTCCGACACCTTCCTCATCGAGAGATCACAACCTCCGCGATGAATCACACCGTTGCACTTCTCTAAAGAAACTGGTGGTAAACAAAGCCGCTCGGTCACACATACTACTGACATAAGTTATATTTAACATCTCGACGTTGCATTTTATTTTTAAAATAACCAGGGATTTTACACTGAAACTGTGTGGTTTCCTGTCTCGCACTATGTGAACTGCGGAAATTGACGTGTCCCAGAAGCAGCTCGCGGAAAAAAAAGAACTTGATCCGATCTTTAACGGCACGGCATGCCGCTTCTGGGACGCACCTGGAAATTGCCGCGTTGCACCTGATTTGAAACACTCCATAGACTATAATTGGATTGTATTTGAAGCGGTGCCGCTTCACTGCCGTTCCATTCCACTGATGCTTGCAGTGTGAAGCCGGTTTCACACTGCAGGTATCAGCGAAACGGAAGAGCGGCGGGGCGGCTCACTCGCAAACTTCTAAGCGGTCCTTTTCACACCGGGAGAGTCTTGGCCGCGGCACGGCTTCCTCGCTGCGCCTCGCTGTACCCGCGAGATTCTAAAATCCCTCGAGACTTCTGACACCTTCCTCATCGAGAGATCACAACCCCCACAAGGAATCACACTGATGCACTTCTCGAAAGAAACTGGTGGTAAACAAAGACGTTCGGTCACACGTACTGATGTAAGTTATACATAACATCGCAACGTTGCATGTCATTTTGAAAATAACTGGGGCTTTTACACTGAAACTGTGTATGGTTTCCTGTCTTGCACTATGTGAACTAGAGCTGAAACAACTAATCGATTTAATCGATTATAATAGATTATTAAAATAGTTAACAACTTTTTTAGTCATCGATTAGTTGTTTAATAATCATATTTTACCGCATAAAGTCTATTTTTACCACAATCTGACATCGGTTACAATCTGTTAAATTTGCCGCCAGTGTGTGGCAGTAATGAGCCACTGATCTACCAGTGGAGCCGTAGAAGAAGAAATGAGCCAATGAGTGCCCTCGGTTTTCATGACGTATCACGTTACTGACGCTCATCTTGCTGTGACAGATGGCGGAACAAGAAGAAATACGGAAGAAAAATAGAAGCGACAAAACTGAAGAGAAACCCCGGACTTCACTCTAGATGCCTTGAAAAGACGGGTGACCTGCAAAATATGCAAAAACCATCTAGCATGGCACGGAAGCACGACGTCCCTAAGTGAACATTTGAGACGAAAACATGTGGGGGCTGATGCAGCAGAGGAAGAGCACCGCGGTCAAGTGAGCCGTCATTTGGAAGAGCCAGCCCGGTAAGTAACAGAAAATAAACAAGCTGGACTTAGTGTTTTAGCTGAGATCGTTATAGTGGATGTTAAACATGTTT